CTATTCTTGGAATTGGGTAGGCTATTTTTTCCGTCATTAGTCCGTTTACGCCACGAAAATCAACACAAAAACGAGTTCCACCTTGGCCTCCTTTCTTGGCAATTAAAACAACAGGTGAAGACCAGCTACTGGTAGAGGGTTCTATTACTCCTAACTTCAACATTCTCTGGATCTCATCTTTTTCAATCTGCCTCTTGCCAAAAGGAAGTCTTCTTGGTGGCTGTCTAATTGGTACTGCATTTCCAGTATTTATTTCATGTTGGATTAAATGGGTCCTTCCTATGTCGTCTGAAGACTTTGAGAATACAATTTTGTATCTTTTAAGTAGATTGGCAAAATCTATACTTTCGTTTTCATTCAAATGAATGCAACTTCTTTCCCATAACTCTTTCAAATATTCTGGTAAATTAGATTCTTCTGGATTTTCATCTAAAGAAACCTCTGTACAACAAACAGCAATACTGTTCTTCTCATAATATGATTCACAATCTCCTAACTTCATTTTTGGATATATCTTGATATCAGTATCATTAAAATTATGCAGACTAACAACTTTGTTTTCAGCAGAAGTTTGTAGTATGGCAGGCAAAATGGCTATATTTTTCTCGTCAAACAGTCGTACAGATGGTTCAATCATACAGCTCTCACTCAATTTTTCACAGAAGGGGATATCCACAGGTATAAACATTCTTGAATTTGCAGGTATGGTAATTTCTTCTTTGACTTCTACACGGCACACCATCTGAGTTTCTCCAGCAACCCAACATTGAATGTCTGTCAAACTGGTCTGTAACACCATACGCTGATAATCAATTTTGTTGACATAATGTAACAGGAAGTCTTGTCCAATAATAGCATCTGGACTGATATCACACACTATGATAGTTTGGGGAAATAGTTTACCATTAAAATTCAGGTTCATTATGCTCTGACCATAAGCTGTAATTGTATTTCCATTTACATCCTTTATATTTAATCTTGAAGGTTCTAAATTGGGCTTGCTTCTTTCTAAAATTTGGTCAAACATTTTGCAAGCTAACAGTGTAGTAGTAGAGCCAGTGTCTACTAGAAATTCAACATGAAGTCCACAAATCTCCCCAACTGCATAAAATCCGTTATCGAATTTCCCACAAGTTTTCCCCAATTGCCCAATTCTTTTATTACAATTATCATTAATTCCATAAATTTCTTTTATAGGCCCATTAGATGAGTCATCCGTCAAATAGGGGCCCTCTACATTGACGGTTTGTAGTTTTCCTGCTGCTTTCCAGTGTTATTGGATCCATAGTATGGTCTTGATTGATTGGTTGCATAACTCATCACTTTCTTCAGCATTGGACAGTCTTTGATTATATGCCTAGGTGATTCACAAATAAAACATTTACGTTCAAACTTCCCTTGGGATGACTCATTTGCTTTATACATGGTCTGGGGGGTAGCTGTCGGGGTATTATAACTTGTCTGTTCAAGCTTTGCTACTCTGGCATTCAGCTGGTCAAAACTGTAGTCTTGGTCATCATCTGTAGAAATTTGTCTTACAGCTGTTTTCTTCTTCTCTGTAACTGGTGGTTCTCCTAAAATAGCCTCATATCTTTCTATTACTTGGACTGCATCAGATATGGTAGCACATTCTTTGTCAATACATCTACATTTCATTTCAAGTGACACTGATTTGTACAGTTGGTTTAGGGCAAGAGCTTCTTGGGCACTGGGGTCAAGGTTGGTATAAGCTTTTTGGGAAAGTTGTCTCAATTCATCTCCTAGCATGGCAATTGATTCACATGGCAAACGTTTTCTGGATTCAAACCTCGAAAGCCATCTACTCTGTTGTCTGGTACATCCAAACCGTTGCTGCAATTTTGATACAAGTATATCATAATTTCTTCTCTCTTCAAAAGTCAGGCTTATGTAAAAAGTACGTGCTGGACCACGTAAACTAGCTGCCAAAGTTAAACATTTGTCTTTGTCAGATAATCCTCCTAACTCCACACAGTCTTCAAAATGAGAAAAGTACTCATCCCAATCACTGCTACCACTATATGAATCTGGTTTGATATAAAAACTCCGATTATTTCCTTTGGGCCTACCAATTGCATCACCGTTTCCAAAATCTCTGCTATATCTTCTTTCTTCTTCATATTCATGGTCATTTTGATCATCTCCTTGGCCAAATTCTGGTGGGGGTGCATGAAACTGGATTTCTGGGTCGGGACTGTCAGCCATATCTTTACAAAAATACGATTTTAAATAAAAACATCACGAAACGAATCAACACTAACATATTTACAAATTTTTAAAAGTTGTGGCGGGCGGTTACCATCACATCGAGCTATGTAACATCTAGGTTCGTATCTCTGGATTGCTTGGGAAAATTAAAGCAATCCCACTTCTGACACCATTGTAAGGGACCTGGGGTAGGCTTCAATATAATTATATCATTTGGGTAAGTCTCTATAAAGGTTGCAGCAATAACCAATTTTAAACGTGTATATATATATATGTCTCTGGATGGTCAGCCATTATGGACCAATTGTGCCTGCCTGTAACAGAGAAATATCTGCCCAGCCACAAGACAACTGCCCAAAACGTATAATCTTAATCTTATGAAGTTTAGTGCACCAGCACTAAGATGATTAGTGAACAGAAGGATCCATTTCTAGTCAAGAAAACAGTCTTTGCTCATTTTGGAAGTTGTAAGTTGATTTACCATTTACTTGACATTCATATTTCACTAACTATAATGCATAATCCACAGGACTAAATATTTATTAGCACATAAATATAATAATATGGTAAAATACAGGAATGAAATATATTCTTCTTATATTGTTTCTATAACTATGTCACCCTTGACTAAGCCTGGTGATGAAGCATGTATAATTTAGGGTAAGAAAAATCTATATTTAAGATTGTGATGGCACATCCAAAGTTGGACTGGAACATCCAAATACCAAACAATTGGCACAATCATATAACTAATTATGTCAGGCCGGAAATAACAGTTTATCTTTAGTGAAATCCTAATTAATGGTCCCTTGTTAATTATCTGTGGTTAAAAAGGTCGATGTGATGGGGAATAACTGCATGATTACATTGTTAACACTCTGGGGCAACTGGACAAGGTAGGAACTGACAGCCGTTTCTTATCCTTATTTCCCATTTAAATTCTGTACGTTCATGTGCTGAGTAAAAATTGGTATAAAAATTGTATAATAAATATTCATACCTCTACTGTGTTGTTTTGTTCTTGCAAATATTTATACTTCTATATTTTGGTATTTCAAGTTACCCGCCACGGCAGCTATTCGCCATATTATGAAAGCGGCGCTCCTTATATAATAAAATTTATATGTCACGTGACATGTATTGGCCAACCGTAACAATGAAAACAAAAATGGTGGGACAAGTTGAGCCGGGCAATTGCCTGAACTTTCATGAATTTGGAGTTACTTAAGAGTTGACAGCTTGCCCGGGTGTGGCGCTTTATTAGCTATGACTTTAAGGAAAGCGGGACTATAGGTTAGAACGTCGTACATTATGTAAATTTTAATCGGGCAAGCAAAACATGATTTGGGGTAAAGCGCTTTGATACAAAAAATGGCGTAATCACATTGTAAACAGGCTTAGTGCAGAAATAACCCAAGGGCGGCACATTCATATCATTTAGATACATAATTATAATAAGAAATTGTTAATTGAAATTTATGTTTCCACGTTTACTGATCTTGCAAAAATACTAATCTCAAAGAAAATAAATAGCAGACGAATTCATAGACGTCTAGACGGTCATGTGACTTTGTTTACATGGTGATCGATTACGATCAGCTGAGAATCAATATTCTGTTTACTTCTTATTTTAAACATGTAATGATTACTTTACAAAAATATAAAGCAGCAGTTAAACGTGGAAGTTCTATGGTCTTTACTTTTATATGATTTAAAGACTTGTGAAATTTATGAAAAGAAAACAACAAACATGATTAACTTTGAACTTATGTCATGAACAAGTTAACAAATAATGAAATATTTCCATTGAAACTATTTCCTGGCTTGCAACAAGCAAAATTACCAAATATTTTAACATAACAAAGGTCCTTAGCCAAACATTATCAACAAGGACTTGTAAATTGGCAAAACATGAAAAATAAAAGGAAATGTGGATTTCCAATAATTTAAAAATATGTCAGGGGGGGTACACCCTGCACATTACAGTATACTATAAAGACATCTTGATATAATATGTTACTTTTTCATACTATCTTATCACCTCACTATGCTATTCTGACAGATTACTATATCATAATGATACATCTGTAAACTATAAAGACGTACTGATATAACAGTAATGCTGACCAAGGAATATAAAAGAAGGCGCAAGTTGTTTTTGTTTACGTAGAATTTAATAAATTTGAGGTGAATATGGCATGTGAAAAATTGCCTCCCTCCTTTTTTATTGAAAAAAGTCCATAACTCTAGAAAGAAAAATCAAAATTTCACCAAAAATTATAAAGACCATTAGACTATCATTAAAAACAACAGTATATAAATTTATCTTAGTGATATAGCAAATTGACAGAGTAGTATAGTCAAATGTCGTAATAATAGAGAAAATTTGCTTCATGTTATATCTCAACCCTTAATGATATGATTATCGTTATCATAAGGCAGCTAAGGCGTTCCATAGACTCTCTCCAACATTGTAGACTAGAATAGAATGCATGACAAAAATCTCTTTTTTTTTGTTGATCATGTATTACTGATAATTTTTCTGGTTACAGTGTCTATCTTCTTTATTTTTTGCCCAAAACACAAAAAAAGGTAAAAACGAAATCCTCATTTAAGTGCACACACTCTCATAAAGAGTCTACTAACAATCTCATAATTTCTAGATCTTGTCTTGCTTATCAATTTTGTTATTTGAAGTGTCTATTTATCTATTATAGTTTTCAAGATAATAGGCAAAAACACTAAAAATTGGTAATAAACTGTTGACACAGAGATATGTCTAGCATTTTGTAATTTTGATAGTATAATGCAAATGTTGAATTAAAATGGCAATATTCAAGCATGTAAACTATGCATATCATTCAAAGTCAATGAAACTATAACTAACAAAGCCGAGCCAAATAAACTCCATGAAAATGAGAAATGTCAATGCTTATAAAAATTCATACCAAATACCATGGACTTATCAGAAGTCATTCCCTTGAAACTGATCGAATCAAACTTTAACATGTAAACCATGATGAGGAGGTGGGGTCATATTATATCCATGGAAATGAGACTTGCAAATGCCAATACATTTGCATACCAAATATCATTGACAAACGACTAATGGTTCCTCTTACACTGACCTAATCACAAACTTATAAATGTAAACTAAGCAAAAATTCAAAGTCAATAGACCATGACTGAGGGGGTGGGACCAAATAATTTCTATGGAAATGAGATACAACTACATATTAAATATGATTGACCTACCACTAGTGGTTCCCCATAAACTGACCTCATCACAAACTAATTACATTGTTGACATCGCTGCCACTGGAAACAGCATGCCTAAGTCCCGCCTTTTCCACTTCGTCAAATTGAGATAAAAATCGTCATTAAAGAGCAATAACTCTAATCAGAAGTCAGCTGACAGTTTTGGCCATTAGATTAATTTGTAGATCTTATATTGCTGATAAATTTTGCTATTCTACAGCTTCCATCTATCAATTATAGTTTTTAAGATATTGGGCAAAAATTCAAAAAGTTGGTAAAACTCTTCATTAAAGGGCTATAAATCCAATAAGGAGTCGTCTAAATATTTGGTAATGATGGCTAAGTCGAAGATATTGTCTTGCTGATAATTTTTGTTATCTAACATTTCTCAATTTATTTATAGTTCTTAAGATAGTACTGTGGATTCATTATTATTCGATGGATACCAATTTTCGTGGATTTCGTGGGTACAGGGAAACCACGAATTTAAAAGTTCAACGAATTGCAAATTTGCTGTATGATTATATGCAGACTTTTAGAAAACCACGAAATCAAATATCCACGAATATGCAAGTTTTCCTCAATCCACGAAAATTGGTACCCACGAAAATAAATGAATCCACAGTAGGCAAAATTGAAAAATTCAAATGGTAAAATTTGTCATTTAAAGGCAATAACTCCCAAAAGAAATCATCTGACAGTTTTGATGCAAATTAACAGTAGGTAGATCTCAACTTTCTGAACATTTATGCCCTGTCAGATGTTCTCTATTCATGGTTAATTTGAAGATAATAGACAATACTTTTCACCCATATGTTCTATTTTTAGCTATGTCAGCCAGGTTGGTTCATATTTTTAATATTAGATACTCCAATGATAATTGTGGCAAAGTTTTGTTAAATTTTGTTCGGTATTTTCAGAGGAGATGATTTTTGTAAAAATTAACAGATGACTATGGACAAAGGACACTAAGTGATGAAAAAAACTCATTTGGCCCTTTGAGTCAGTTGAGCTAAAAAGTTGACTTAAAGAAAGCATTTTTTTTCTACATGTAACTAAAAAAAATAACCTGAATTATAAATTAAGTTTTCAGTTGATAAATAATTGTTTGTCCCTACAAAAAAACATACTTGCCCCAAAAAACACAACACAAAGGATGAATTGTCTGTACATCATTGTTTCTAAAACTTATAGGCAGTATAAGTAAATAGTTTATTATATTGTCACAATTTTATATACCTTATCATATGCAATGTATAATATTAAAACTATATTAGACTCATGACTTTAAGACATATATATGAGACATTTTCGGCCTTTGCAATACAAAAATATACTAATGCTGTAATGAAATATCAATTTTTAGCTAAAAGAAATCAGCAACATGAAAATAAAACAAGATACTTTAACAAACAAATAAAGAAGAAAAAAACCTATAAAATCTGCTTTTACATGTAGCTATTTCAAGATTCAAAAAGCAATCAGTCACGTCTTTTTTAAAACATTGTACTAACATAAGTACATTATCTTATTTTAATCATGCTTACAAACAATTTTATATGTAAAATCTTTTATCAAATTATATAATACTTTAGAAGTTCTTAACAGAAATATTGATACATCAAGCTATTAAAAAAAAAAAAAAACACAAGTGTATAAAAAACCAGCCATTTATGCTAACTATATTGCATACATTTGAAATATCTAAACATCATTTCAGACCTGTCTTCTTCAGCCATATACTCTTGAAATCCATTTTTCTTGTTCCTTTCATTAATTACTTCAAACCAAATGGTAAATGTACATTTGAAATTCACTATTAAGGTGATAAGCTTTTTTTTTTTTTAGAAAGAGCTTTTCTCTTTCTTTTTTAAAAGATCCTTCTGTTAATGGTCAGACTTCATTAATTTTCTACAGTTCTAACTGTCAATGAATTTAGGTGGATCATCATATACACCTGGGAAGAAGTAAAATTTTTTCCTCAAATTGCTTTTTACTTCTGACACAGTCAAATTTCCTGCCATTGTCCTTCCTTGTGACACTAATTCATTAACCTACAAAAAAATTCCTATTATATTCACAAAAAAAAAATGCAGTCAGATTGGTTACAATTTAGAAGATATCTAAGTTTGTTCTAAAACAGATTACAACATAAAAATCTTTTAACTTGGAAAGACATAATCATTACTATAGAAATGTAAAAAATGCTATTAAAAAGACTTTCAAATTATGGTGGATAACTGCATGCAATTGATGGTACAAATTTAAAACAGTGCTTTAAATCGCTCAAATTTTTCCATTATTTTTATTTTTTATTTTTCAAAACATTGTCCTATGTTGATAGTAATCAATTTTGTTGTTCAAGTCTGCAATATATTTTTGTTCCAAACAATAGATAAATGATTACTGCATTGACCATACTGTTTTCTTGTTGTATTAATGAACACTTATTTTATTTGAAATGTGTCCTATAAAGTTGTCCCTTTGGCTGAATAGACATATTGTCTATATACCAGAATAGATTTATTTGATCAAGGTTATATTCATACTGTTGTTGGTCAATCACTCTGTCTAATATAATTTTGGGACAAATATCAACAACTAATTTATACTTGGAAGTGATACTAAAATGTTTCCTTTGTTTCTTGTTTACAAAAGATCATGTTTTCCTGTATAGTTTATCGTGTTGCTGTAGGATTTTTTTCTTTAAGTACAGCAACCAATATTAAGTGTAAGACAGAACATTTCTAATTGGCAGTTTATAAATACTTTGACCTTACTTTCAGAAACTTGGACAGTAACCATTCTTCAATACTGAATAGTTTGTTAGTAATGTTGTGTGTGTTTTTTTTTATCTATTACACCGTTATTTTAGTTCAGTGCTTTTTCTGTACTGGTTTTTATTGGGTGGGTTTTTTTTTCAAGAAGGGTGTATAATTTGTTATCAATTTTGTGTTTTTATTACCTATTATACAGTAATAAGAGTTAAGTGCTTTTTCTGTACTCATTTTTTTGTGTGTTCTTTTATGTACATGTATATGTTGTTAATTTACATTTATATGGAGAGGGTTATGACTGCCAATAAGTATTTTACAATCGCCAAAAAGTAGTTTCAAAAGGAAACATATTCATATGCCTGTCCAGAGTCAGAAACCTCATCAGTAGTTGTCAGTTGTCGTATGTCATATATCTGTGTTTTCTTTTACTTGGATAATTGATTGTTAAATTAGTTTAACAACATCTGGTAATGTTGTTTGCTCAAAACAAAACAGATTAGACACGAGTAAAACAATTTATGTAGTCTTCTCTGTAAGACAATGTAATTTATAACAATAAAACATTAAAAAAAACATCTGCTGAATACAAATATATACAATATTTATATTATGAAGCTGAACTGAAATATTTAAGAAAAGGTGATAATAGAAGAACGACAAAGATGATGATGATGGCAATGTGTGTTTTATATGTGTTGAGATTATACCACGAGAAATCTTTTTGATTTCTATATGACGTTTAAAACTTCTTTGACAATTTGCTCGTTTTGGTCATAGAAATGTGTAACCTTTCATCAAATCAAGAGTTATATATCTAAAAATTGAAACCTCAGGGAAGCAAGCTGAGATTATAAAACATGGTTGTTATTTCATTTAAGTGGAAGGTACAGAGGAAAAATAATGGTGTATATATCTTTAATATCCAATCAACATCAGCATGTTTTATAAGACATCATATTGGCCATAGTTCAAGAAAGATTGATTGATAGTTGGTTGGTTGCTTAACCTCCAGTTCAAGAAAGAGGCAGAAGATTTTAATTGAGGTAAGGAGAAGTATACGTAATTGCATGCCTCTAGCAGAATTCGGTATAAAAAACATGCCTTGTTAATTACTCTTGTTATTTCCCTTACTCCTGAAAAATGTGAATTGTAACTTGGATGGAGAGTTGTCTCATTGGCACTCATACCACATCTTCCTATATCTATTTGAGTTCAAACAAGTATACCTGTTCTGTCTCAAAACTTCAAAGAAATGATTAGAATGACTCTAATCAGAAATATGAGTATTCTATTAGATAACCTGAACCTGTTACCGTTTCAGACACACCAGAGAGGGTACATAATAAAACTTGTGTTTTATGTACAGAAAACTAGAGGCTATAAAGAGCCTTTGTCGCTCATCTAGGTCTATGTGCATCTTCTATAATTAACTCTCTCAAAAATTGTAGACGAGAATAGAATTTAATGAAAAAATCCCTTTTTTGTTGATCTTGTATTGCTGATCACTTTTTCTGTTTTCAGTTTCTCTCTATCGTCTTTATTTTTTGCCCATAACACAAACAAATAGTAAAAATAAAGAGTCTGATAACGATTTCGGCAAAATTGGACTTGTTTGTAAATCTTGTCTTGCTGATAATTTTTGCTATATTAAGTGTCTATCAATCTATTATAGTTTTTCAGATATTAGACAAAACATTGATAACAAGAATGTGTTCATAGTACACAGATGCCCCACTCACACTATCATTTTCTATGTTCTGTGGACAGTGAAATTGGGGTCACAACTCTAATTTGGCATTAAAATTGGAAAGATCATATCATAGGGAACATGTGTACTAAGTTTCAAGTTGATTGGATTTCAACTTCATCAAAAACTACCTTGACCAAAGTGAATATGAAGGCCACACTGAAGAAATATCAAATATATATCATTATGAATTAACCATGTAAAGGTTAATTAGAAAACCAGTAGGTAAAATAAAAACATACTTTTAATAACATATGCTGAATTTCCTCTTGATGGGCATGATATTTGAATGTCCATACAATAGCATTTAAGAACCATGACCCAACATGTATATTTCTGTAAGCTGGAGTACCTGTAAGAAAAATATAAAGTATTTCTAAAGGAAATTTAACGTATACTGCTGATTAACATTTAGAATTGTATGTATTATTAAAGTTTTACGTTACCTTTAGGCTATAAGCTTAATGAGGAGCCAGGTGTTGGTGGTTAATATGGTTAAGTTTGGTGTGATGTATTTCTGATGATTCATGCATTCCCACATCATGTATTATTGAATCCCCCACTGGTCATCTATGGATAAAATTGACTTAATATGAATACCAAAAATGTCAAACTAGGATGCACAACTGAAATCTGAAGATAAACACCCTTGTGATGGTTTAAACAGATAATGTTTAAAATTAGTATAGCTCTTATATGTTTATGGATTTTTTAGTGAAATATCTTAAATCATATTTCACATTGGATGTAATTTTGAAAATTATTCATAGTTGCCAAATTTCTCCAATCTTGTTAAAAGGGGCATAGAAAATCATATTTAATCAAAGTATTTATATATTTTTTTTTTAATCTAAAATAACAGTTGCCATATCTACCACCACAGTATCCAAATTGCACCTATTTAGCAAACATAGCAGTCTCTTAGAGACTAAACAATTTGTATTTTTATGATTTGACATTATGCACGTTTTTCACAGCTAAATATATTTAAATATACACAAAACATTCAAAGTATATATCAACAGATGAAGTATCCACTGGAAAAAATAAAATCTATGGAATTGTCGCTATGCGACGTCCACAAAAGTTCAACTATTAAAAATGAGCAATTAAAATATGTTACAGGCATCCATTTCTGAAAAAATGAATATTAAGCATGGACTTTTGTCAAATGTTCTAGATATTTGGAGAAATAAAACAAAACATCGTTAATCGATTTTTATGAATGTGAATTTAAGCATGGATGCAATTTGGGTAATCCTCATTACAGAATCATGGCCTCGAAAAAGTTATCAAACTGAGAGTAACATAACTTTAAAAAAAATCTTCTATGACTTATGTTGCCGGCTATAAAAAAACTAAAACAAACTAAAAACGTACCAAAAACAAATAAACAAAAAAAAATCAAAACAGAGACAACTTATAATTAATAAGTTACTCATAATCACAAGAAGACATGAAATCAATTCAAATAGATTAGATTCAAATGACATAATTTGAGTTTGAGTTATTTCCCTTGGCTGCATATTGGAGGGATAAACAGATGATTTTCTTATTTGACTACCAATTTGAAACATGGGATACACACAAGTCTGATAAAAGATCTCTACAAGATCGTAGTGATGAATTAAGCAAGGCTGAAAAAAATGAAAAAATTTACACACTTAGACATCCAACATGGCATTAAGAGGATGTAACTCTTGCTCAATTTGGGTAAATCGAGACCTATCTATTTCAGTATGAACCTAAGATTTGCCCACACCATTTTAATAACTCTGCAGACAAACAATAAAAAACTATGTAAATTAGATTTCTTTTGTTACCTTCAGGAGTAGCATAAGCTATCAGAAAATCTGCAGCAGAATGAACAGTTCTCTTTGTTGAATCTTCATTGTGCGCCTGTGCAACAGCATCTGTCTGTTCTGTTTCTAAAGAAATGGCCTGTATTCCTTCTGAAACACCATCTTTATCAGACACCTGGATTCCAGTGCCTGTATGGTCAGATTCAGTATTTTCTGGAAAACAGATCATCAAAGAATTTTCATTTAAAAAATATGAAAAAACATTTGAGCACAATAGCAGGCTTCAACTCCCTTTTAATGAAACATAAAAAGACTTTTAGTAAACAGCTTTGCATAAATAATATGGGATCTTGTAAAGCATTAATTCAACAAAGAAATGAGGTTAAAATCTGACTGTTTTTTTTAATATTAAACTTTTTTTCATAGTTTATCATGTCATTTAGGGCAGCCAGTTTTCCAGTGGTCCTGGAAGTAACTAACAGTTCTGTTATGTGAAAGTCTGTGCAAGCAAAATGACTTCCCTTTCATTTTAACATTTCCTGAAAGCAATCCAAATATATTTATGTTTATTTCTAGAGACAAAACCAAATCCAAATATTTTCAATTACTTGCTTATAAATAGATAAACATTTGCTGTTTATTTAAACTAGTAAGATAAATTAAAGGGAGATAATATAAATAATACATAGAAACAAGTTTCCATTGATATAGGTCTTGCCATTCCAGTTTTAACCTGAATATTGAAGTCATTGAATTCTGCTCACTGTGATCACTCCATTAATGACTTCAGGAGAACATTGACCAATAAAGGGTACTTTAATTATTTGTGTTACACAAGAAAAAATTTTGTCTTTACTTAATATGGTTTTGACATTACGTAATGATGTTTTGATATAACTCAATATGGAATAGTCATTACTTAATGTTATTTCGATATTACATGATATGGTTTCGTATTGACTTGATATAGTTTTGTCATTACTCAATATGGTTTTGTCATTACTCGATGTGGTTTCACCATTATTTAATGTGGTTGTGTCATAAGTCAATGTGTTTTTAACATTACTTGATGTGAATGTGACTTAACGTTATGTAGTTGTTTCATTACATGATGTGGTTTTGTTATTTCGTAATGATGATTTGCCTATTCTTTATATGGTTTTAACATTGTGCAACGATGTTTCAAAATTTGACGGTTTTACACTACATGATGTGTTTGTTTCATTATTTGATGTGGCCCCGTCATTCTTTGATGTGGTTATCCCATTACTTGATGAGGTAAAACCACGTGACCAATTCGGAAAAAAATATGTTCTATTTTTAAACAGATTTCAATATATCGTTTGTTTAATGTGCTTTGGATGGGTATCACTATCAATTGAGTTAAAGTTCAAATTAAAGTTCGAGTGGTTGTTCAGAGTTATTTGGTATGAAAAAGGGGAACGGCAGACAATAATAAGAAAAAAAGTATTAAAAGGTTTACAGTATTTCGGACATAATTGGGATATTCCCAAACCACTTGGTCCTGTTGTTTTTATCCTAAGTTCTCAAACGGAAGCAGTATTTTTGTAATAAATTTGAAAAATATTCCACGGAACCCTGCGTCTCGCCTGATATTGCTGCTGTAAGTGTAAAAGCGTCATGTTGATCGGCTGTTCATTTATCTATACATTTATCGGTAAAAAAAAAAAAAAAAAAAAAGTTTTTCTGTAGATGCTTTTTCTTGAAATTGAGGAATAACTCCTATACAAGTTTTGAAACACTTCATGGAGGTTTACAAATTTATCATGTCAAAACAGTCTAATTCGGTTTTATTTAACTAAAACAAAACTGTATGGTTTTCAACAATGAGCAAAACCCATACCCTATAGTAAGCTATAAAAGGTACCGAAATGAAAAATGTAAAAAACTAGAAACCTAACGATCTATAGATAGATAGATAGATACTTTATTCTCTAAAAACTAAATACAAGTTTACAGAGAAACATACAATATAAATACAAATACAATAGTCGAAGTAAACAAATCCAGTATGATATTCTAAAAGTAATATACATGGCATACATGTTTAGTAACATGTATAATGAAAGGTTAAACTCAATAGAAATAAAAAAAATGGAGATGAATACGCCGACGCCACTATCGATGACGAAATATAGGTTTGTTGTGTCTCACTGCCGCTACATTGATGTCGCAGGCTCGACACAAATCAAAAGACTTGAATTTTATTGTTAACAAATGAAACACTTCAAATCAACTCACACTAAAGTTACAGGGAAACGGGGGAGGGGGGCTCGGACTAAGCGATAAAGCATCAATACTATAAAATAAGAATTCTCCGAATTTTTTTAGCGTAAATGATCATTAGAACTTATACGAATATCAATCTTTTATTTGTAATGAATTGAATTCCCTGATCTACCTTGCACTAATTGAAAAATAAACATTTTGGAATACCGGTATCTGTTTCATATGTGACGACGGACATGTTCCAGTGGTCGTAACCAAATAAACCATCATCTTTTCCTTGAATGTAAACTACCAAATAAAACGAAATCACTGGGTTTGTACTTTCTCGAATAACACGACGGGTGCCTTTCTGGAGCATCCGAGATCACCCCGATGGATTTATATTACCCAGTCATACCGATCTATTGAAACAGCCAAATGAGACTGTTTTGTATGCCATCGCAACTGAAAGTTGGGGGGAGGGGGGGGGGGGGGGCATATTGTTTTTCCCCTGTCCGTCCATCCGTCTGTCCGTCCCATTATGGGTATATAGTTATTCCGCATAACTCCTCCTACAGTTTTAATCCTAGGAAGTTTTCTCTTTACTGTCTGTTTGTACATATATTGAAGGTGTGCATGTGGTCAGGGTTTTTATTTTTATTATCTTTTGCTCTTTTGGGAGATAATTGAACTTTTTTTTGTCATTTTGGGGGTATAAGCGGTTAAATGAGTTGAGTGTGGGGGCATCACTTTGTCTAGTTTACATTTTTTTCTCGTGTTGTGATGTTACACAACTGTAACAGTCCGATGTAAGGTTAGGATTTAGTGCTCACATACCTGTTAAACTCCGCCACGTGCACTTTCTTTATGTACCTGCCCCAAGTCAGGAGCATGAAGTTCAATTGTTGTCGTCGTATAAATGTGTGTCATTTTTTTTTGTAGATTGTTTATTTATAAATAAGACCGTTTGTTTTTTCGTTTGAATTTTTTCACATGTTGCATGGTGGCCTTTTGTAGCTGACTATACGGTGTGTTGAAGGCTGTACGGTTGCCTATATATGATTTCTTACATCCACTGCATTTAAACTCTGATGGATAGTTGTCTCATTGTCAATCACACCACATCTAATTTTATTTCAACTTCTATGTTGTGTTTTGTATACTGTAACATTGTTTATCTTTTGTACGCATACCCCAGAGCCCTCTTTTCGGAAGCCCGATGCAAAAGTCCTTGTTCCGTGATAGAAAATTTAATTACGAACTCATATAAGATATTTCGAATTTCAACTCAAAATCTTAATTAATCTAAATGACTTAAATTCGAATCTTACTCAAACTCTACCTCAAAAAGTGACTCAAATTTAATGTTGTAACTAGAACTCTACCTCAGTTAAATGTGACTCAAACTCGAAGTCCCACTCGAAACTCAATGCTAACTATAACTTTAATTCTAATAATGTGTTGAATTCGAAATCGAAGACTAACTCAAAGATTAACTCAAACAGTAACCCGAACTTAAATTTGAACTCTAATTCGATGGATGGCCACACTCATCAAAGGCACATACAACATGGAAATCTATCTAAAAATAGAACAGGTTTTTCCGAATTGGTCACGTGATTTTACCTCATCAAGTAATGGGATAACCACATCAAAGAATGACAGGACCACATCAAATAATGAAACAAACACATCATGTAGTGTAAAATCGTCAAATTTTGAAACATCAATACGTAATGTTAAAACCATATAAAGAATAGGCAAATCATCATTAACAAAACCACATCATGTAATGAAACAACTACATAACGTTAAGTCACATTCACATCAAGTAGTGTTAAAACCACATTGACTAATGACACAACCACATTAAATAATGGTGAAACCACATCGAGTAATGACAAAACCATATTAAATAATGACAAAACTATATCAAGTCAATACGAAACCATATCGTGTAATATCGAAATATCATTAAGTGATGACTATTCCATATTGAGTAAAGACAAAATATCATCAAGTAATAATAAAACAACATAAAGTCATATCAGAGTTCCACATAAGACAGCTGTGGTGTTCCATACATATACATTATATATACATTGTACCGTATAAATTATGAAGTGTCACCAGATATACCAGTAATAAGCTAATTATGAACTTGACTTGCATTTATGGTTTCTATAAAATAGACTATTACACATTTAGAAAGCAAAAACTGAATGAGAAGATTGGAGAGAAAGATTGAATACAGGATTATTTACCTCTCCATGGGAGAATAACATGTTAGGTAGCCACTATAGCAATTATAAAGTCATCAATGTTTTTAGTGCATGTGCAATGTAACAAGAGGCGCATGAGAGCCTGATATCGCTCACCTGGCTGTAATTTCAGTTTCAGGCATTTGACTGATTTGTAGATCTTACTTTGCTGAACAATTTTGTCATTTACACTTTCTCTCTTTCTTTAATAATATTAAAGATAATACATAACCCAAAACTGTAAAATTTCCTAAAAATCAACTATTTCTGGACACACAGTAACCCAACAATAAGTTGTCCTATTGGTCTGAAGATTACTTGACAGGTAGATCTAAACCTGTTTAACACTTTCACCTATGTCAGTTTTGCTCTTACTGCTTTAGTTTTTGAGATGAAAGCCAAATACTTCATTTGACTCTTATGTTCTATTTTTAGAAACTGCCGCCATGTTTTTGAATGAATCAAATCCCAGAATACAATCTATAAACTAGATAACCTAAGGAACATTAATTAAAAGTTTAAGTATTTGGCAAAGTAGTTTCAGAGAAGAAGATTTTTTTAAAAAGTAATTGGACTTTCACAAAAAATGTAAAAAAAAAATGTTTTAAGGGTAATAACTCCTCAAGGGGTCAATTGACTATTTTGATCATGTTGACCTATTTGTAGATCTTACTTAGCTGAACATTTATTGCCATTTATACTTTCTCTCTATCTATTATATTATTAAAGAAAATAACCAAAAACAGTAAAATTTAATAAAAACTAGGTTCCAAAGAGCCTGTGTCGCTCACCTTAGTCTATGTGCATATTCAACAAAGGACTCTCTCCAACACTGTAGACAAGAATAGAATTCATGACAAAAATCTGTTTTGTTCATCATTTAGCCTGTTTAGTGTCTCTCTATCTTCTTTAGATTAAAAAAATCCTCATTTAAGGGCAATCACTCCTATAAAGAGCCACAGTCTACTTAACTTTATCGGCAAAATTTGACTTGTTAGTAGATCTTGACTTGCTGATCATTTTTGTGATTTAAAGTCTTTCTTCATCTATTATAATTTTCTATCATACATGACAAAACGCAAAAAAAATGTGAAAATCATCTTTACAGAGCAATAACTCCAATAAGGAGTCGTCTGACCATTTCCTCCATATTGTCTTCATTGTAGATCTTGTTTTGCTGATCATTTTTGCCTAGCTAAGTTTCTATCTGTCTATTATAATTTTAAGATAAAAGGCAAAAACGCTAAAAATTGGTCAAAATCATCATCAAAGGGCAATAACTCTAATAAGGAGTCAATTGACAATTTCGACCATGTTGACCTATTTGTAGAACTTGTCTTGCTGATCATCTTAAAGTTTCTCTGTATCTATTATAGTTTTCAAGATAGTAGGCAAAAATGATAATAAATGGTAAAATTTGTCATTTAAGGGCATGTTTACCATATATGATAATGTTTTCTAAAACTATGTCCTCTTACTAGAAATAACCAGAAATCATAATTGTACATAAGTATTATCCTAAGACTCAAATTGTGATTTTGTCTTCTTGAGATTCAAAACTGAAATGATAAAAATATCTGACATATAATATTTAAATAGTTACCTCCACGACATGCTTGTACAAAGACAAGTCTTGGTTTTTCATTTAGTCCAGAGCATTGTGATGATTCAAACATTTCTGTTATTTTCTTTAGTTCAACAATTTGACCATCTGTGCCAAATATCCCTGTAGTTTCACCATGACTCATTATAACAAGTATTAAACATTCCATAGTATTCCAATTAACTTTATCTCTCTCTTCTTTCAGAAATTTTAACATCTCCTGGAATTTTAATTATCATTGCTGTGTTCAACTTGTTTAAGTAAAAACCTTCTGAAGTATTTTCAAACTAACATTTCTAGCTATTTAATATATTTAACCACAAAGTACTAAATTTCAGTAAAATTTACAAAATTCAAACCAGAATTTCTTAAGCCCCTCCATCACTCACCTGAATGAATGCCCATTGTCATCAACCCTATTTAACCTATCCAATAAGCCGGCCCCTAATTGATTAGAAATTCTCATTGCACTTAGAGACTATGTAGCAGGAGGAGTGTATTGTTTTCATCCTGATTGGAATAAAATTAGTATCAATTGAACCTAAGCTAGGAAGCAAATGGTCCTTCATAAGAAGTTTTAGAAAGTTTTATTGATTTTTTCAGGTACAAATGTAGATGGAATCATCAACCACAATTCTTAAAGAAGGTTCTTAATCTATTATTTTATTAAATTTTGGTAGCATGATCTTTTATTTTTGTGATTTTACTTTTTACATGAAGTTTTTAATTGAATTTTTTATCTTGTTATCTAATCTAGAGATGTAGTATGCCATGTTTGAAAGCTGATGGAGTCATCAACCATTATTCTCAAAGAAAATTATTAACAAACCAAACTTGACAGCAATTAATTATCATTCATATGATTTTTCAGAATTGTTTTTATGTATTATATTGTTCAGTTTTCTATTTTCAAAAACGGTGGAGGTAAGTTGATAGGGTTTGGGTCAGCAACCATAATTCTGAAAGGTGAAAACAAATGAATCATTTGCTCAAACTGTGGTTGCAACTGGTCCATTATATTTTGCTATATTTAGACATAGTTGCTATATTTAGACATAGTTGCTATATTTAGACATAGTTGACATGTTGATTGTTCGTGGGCTTGTCAGACTCTGAAATTCATAGCATGAAATCATAAAGTCAGTCAAGTTTGAAAGGTTTCCAATATTTTAAAAAAATGTAAAAAGAATACCTTTTGAACTTATTTAACTTTATGATTTCTTGCATTGCATTTGGAAGTCTATTATAACCTGTTCATTTGAATTTGTGATGGCAATTGTCTTTACAGAAAATCTGAGCTATCAAAATTAAAATTTTAGTTAGCTGTGAGATAGTACAAACAAATAACCACCAGAAACAAAAAGGTAAGTCATGAATTATGTGTTGTTCTTTCTCTAGCTTGTTGAATATATGTAGGTATCTACAATTTTTATTATTAGTTATTCTTTAATAATTACATTGGCTACAACAAAATACAAAATACAGTAAATTCCAAGTCAAATAAAAACTAATAATTTCACATGTGAATGAAATCCTGTAGCTTTGCACATGAATTGTACCAGAATCTGTTTCTCTGTAATGATGCAATTAGATACGTATAATAATAAATACATGTATCAATTTGGAATATGGGCAATGATTTGGTATTCAAACTTTGGTTTCTTTTTGTATCCTTTTTTTTAAGTTCTAAAACTTTAACTTTTATTCTGTGGGTTGCGTTGGCGTGAGAATAGTATTAATGGAACAAGTGGGTTTTCGAGAAAAAATTAATCCATTTTGATTCACCGCTTTCGTGACAGGAAACCAAGCAGGAAGCCAAACTTTATTTTCTTTATTTTGCACAATTTATTTCAAAAGACATAAATGAACACCATTACTGGTGTAACTTGCTTCATGTTAATATTTAAAATCTATTATCAATGTTGAATTAAGGTTTTTTCAAACCCGACAGGAAACCATAAGAAACAGAAAGCATTTTTATAGTTTTATTTTATTGCAAAATCTGCTTAAAATAATCTGAACAGTAAACTTTTTCTTGATAATGTTACTTGTAACTGTGTTTTGCAAATTTAGGACTGTTTTTGATCATTTTCTTCCAATAGACAATGAAAACTATGAAAATATACACTGAAATGCAGTCAACTTTAGCGTTTGGTAGTTCATTGATAATATTCTGGCGTATCACAAACAAACAACTTGTAACGTCTCATTTCATTGGCCGAAAGATTCAAATACAACAACAATCGTAGTGTGCACGTGAATTGACACAGGTGACTGACTATGGAATGTACTATGTTACTACGAACGTAAAAACAAGGATTTGACAATGTATAGTTTACAAATCTTTGGTCAGAAGAATTAAATAAATGTTTTGTGAATTTCAAATAGTTGTGTCGAAATATTATACTGCAGCAACATAATTATCTTGTACCGCATTATGAAAAATATAAGGATAAAATAAAATGCATGTGCCGCTTATATACGGATGATTAAGGAACCACTTTTAATTTCTTTCAATGTCGTAGTTACTTATAATAAGGATCTCATAACACTGATCCATTACAATAATTACAATAATTTATGATGGGTTGCACATTCCTCTTTTAGTGTTTTCATGCTATAAAACGAACATACAGAACGTTACACAGTAGCTAAGCGTTTGGTCATTCAGAAATTACGTATCATAAACGGAGCAAATATTGTCCCCGAAATATAGTAACAAAACAACAATAATCGTATCAATTGTACACGTGAATGAAGACATAGTATGCAATGTACTATCATGGTCACCACGAAATTCAAATGAATTCAGTGAAGGCATGTTGGTGTAAAAAGGATTGAAATGTTACATCGGCGAAGATTTTTTCTTTTGTATGTGTGGAACTAAAAAAATAAATAAATACTTGTGAGAAATATCGTAGTTTATAAGGAACAAAATAAATGTACTGTTTTCGATTTTAATTGGCTGAAAACTTATCTTTTAATTTCATACCGTAAGAATAGTGATTTGCATAACATTGTTGAACTATCCGCCAAAGTGACGTGTAGTATGCATGCGTATTTAAAATGAAATACAAAATCATACATGTAAGATAAACCGTCTGATAAACGAAATATTAAGAAATTATTAATAAGGATGACTGAATGCATGTACAAGAAGGGACCCACCTTTTTATCAATACATTTAATGAATAAACACGCTGAAATGAGTGACTTGTGAAAAATAATGTTTATTCAATTATTGAACCAATGCATGTATTTATCATAAACTTAGTCTTCTGTGCATAATGTTATCATTTTTTACGCAAATATATCGTATAATCGTCAATTTTTTTTTCTATATGTCTGTTATAATGTAAAAATATGGCGGCTAATTATTTGTCGTGTTTTGAAGCCGAGGTTTTCCGATTGTCACCTTATAGTAAACAATCAACAAAGAAGCATGGATATTGAGCACGTGTAAAACATGTACAATCAGATAATAGTTTATTTCAATGAGAGATCCATGCATATTGCACCAGATTTTTACAAGACAAGTCACGCTAAGGTCACTTTGCATACGGAAAATATGTCGGCGAATTGCTTCCTGGAAGCAAGCAATTAAAAAAAGTAAACTTTATCTGAATGTGGACAAATCATAGAATTTTCTTCAGAAAAAAGTATATGTACATAGGTTTTATAGTGAAAACTATCCATTTAGTTATAAAAAACATATGCATCAATTTTTTTTTAAATTTGAGGTTTCATATGACTTTAAAAACTGATTGTCTTCTATGTAACTATATAAATATTTACAATATATAATTTTCGTTAGTTTTTCAACCGAGAATAGAAAAACAGTTAATTATAAAATTCATTAAGTATATCGCTGGAGTTTATAAAGTACATTTCCTTCCACTGTACCATGGTTTGCCATCTCCATTTTTCTCTAAACAAAGTATGGTTGGTTACATGTTCTGAATTTACTTAAAACTTCGGGATTTTTTCTCAAAATTAAGTAAAATGAATCAGAAAAAAATCACACTATTCTTAGTCAAATACCTTAAAGTTGTGAAAGATATGAAAAGGCAGGATGAGCAACTTGGCAAAAAAGGCCGGATGACGATTTATGTAAAAAAAATCCCGGCGGACAAACTAATAAAAAAAAGGCAGGACCAAATAGACTTATTCAAAGCATCGTCGATGTTGTGATCCAGCCATATTCATAGCTAGTCTGATATTCTTTCTGACCATACTTTTTTCAATATTTTTCTCTTTTCATTTCCAATCTTACTGTAAAATTTCTATGTTATTGTCCAAAGGTAGGGAATTTCGCAATATTGATGCAAATATTGGTACAAATATTGTATATTTCAATTTTAGACTCTGTCAGATTTTTTTATAAATATTTGCAATTTAATAGTATTGACAAGAATGGAAAGGGAAATTGTCAAACAAGTAATATATCTTTTTATATGCCATTAATAATAACTGGCTTAACAAATTCCAGAAAGAGGCATTAAAAATCCAATTTCTCAACAACAAAAATTAAAAAAAAATAATAACTATTTTTTATCTAAATTGGTGTCCATTCTTCAATCAGAAAAAAATACATTTCCTGTATTCAAATTAAATGAACAAATACTTAATGCTGAGTTATTTCCAATTACTGTTAAATAGCAATATAATGGGATATAAATGTAGAACAAACAAATAAATTTTATGGCAGAAAAAGCTCAGGTAAGAGTTATGCAATTTTGTTTATTGTTTCAACCAAATTTCTGATAATTGTAACTAATTAATAAGAACTTGATTATTGACTTATGTGACAGATGATAATGACACTGTTTTACAAGTGAAATAAAATTTGCTTGCATTTTGTATACATATTTTTTTCATTTTTTTATCTTTTCATTTAAAAAAAACACATTTGATTAATCATTCAGCTAGCTAGCAAATAAACAGAATATTTTAATGTTGTTTAGATCAAAATAATACATTTGTAGGTATTCTATTGAGGTCAAGAATGTGTGCATTCAGTTAGGTGTGTAATAAATTGTGTCTATTTAATTATATAACAGGTCATGAGATATTAACTTTGGTGAATTAAGACTGGGGTTGTTTCCAATTAATACTTACACCTTTGAGTGTAATTATTTGAAAATCTTGACAGTTGATAGTCATACTGACTCTTACTTGCCTATGGAAAGAATTGGAGTAATACCATTTCAAAAAAGTGTG